GAATTTTTCAGCAATTGTTCAGCAACCCGAAATTGTTCAGGGCACCGGATTTATTCAGCAACCCAGCAAGAGTTATTGGCAATCGTACATTTTATGCCAGTTCTCCAGATTCTTAGTCCATGAAAAGATAAACACTGTTAGAACATGTTTTTCCTCCATTCATTCTCTGCAAATATGGAAATCAAGCCGGTCCTTCTGGCAAGAAGTTTTAGAAATCATTTGAACTTTCTTTCCAAACTTGACTCAAGTTTATAATTTTAATTGAAATTGAGTTCACAAAATATAACGAGGCTGTAACGTTATGTTTTTATGCTAGACTTTTTGTTTTCATGTTTTGGCTGTCCTGCAAAGACAATAATTTTCATGTCTTTTTTATTCAAAACATTGTGTTCCAAATTGGAAAATGATGGAACTACAACAACGCCAAATCATGCCCACGGAAACGCAATGATTGAGAAAACAACCAAATCAATGATAAAGCATTTTCAAGACATGTGGGAGAAAACCAAAACAGTTGGACCAATTATCTTCAAATGGTGATGATGGTTCAAAGATCATTAGTTGATGCGGTGACCATTTTATTCAAAATTGATCGCCCGTAATCATTGTCGATAGATTGCTTGTTTGGAAGTTTGCACACTTAAGTCGTTGCAACCGAAAACTACAACGTTATATTTGTTGCGGAAAAACTCCAAAGAAGGAGTGGAATGATACATGCTATAACTGACGTTGAGCAGGAAAATCCAAAAGCATACTGCGACAGAAAATATTGGGACCAAAATACAACGTGGACGACAAACAGAGCGTATTATCGTCAACAGAAAAAATGTTCTAAGAGATGAAAAAACGCACAACTGCCATGGACAAACTTGTTTTTGAAAACAAATTTCAATGTGAAAAATCTCGGAGTAACCTTGAAACAATATTTGACATTTTTAAAATACAATGTAAACCCAGTATTAATTTCTCGTGACTGGAAACTAATGAGTCGTTTCTGCAGAATAAAACAGCCTACAGAAAAATCGTTATCAGAACAATCACATGAACTTTTTATTTTGACGAAACATTTAAATGCAATTTTTTTAAAAACTTTAAGCATAACTTTTTTTAAAAAAATAAATAGTAACAATTTGGATCAGGTAACATATTTACAAAATCAATTTCAAGAAAATCATCAAAGGCAGAAAGCAAAAACAGCACTTAATTGTTCTTAACTTTTTATTTAAAGACGATTGAACGGTGGGACCTATTATAGGGTTATTTCAAGGAAAGAAAATTCTTTTTTAAGTAAAAAGTCAGTAAGATTGTGATACTTTCATTCAAAAACTAAAGTTTTCTATTAAAAATTTCTACTGTATTCGACATCATTTATAATTGGTATCCGCAAATCTAAGTGGAATCCGCAAAATTTGTCAGCGGAATTTGCAAATTTATGCGGATTCAGCAAACTGTCAGTGAATTCTGCAATTGTATTTAATACTTAATTTGCATATGAACAATTGAAAACTAGAGGTAGAATTATTATCTATAGCAGGGTGGAATTTAAAAGCAAGATTTTATCAATTTTCAGCGGAATCCTCAAACGAATCTTCAAACATTGATTAACTAAATAGGTAGATGTCAACGTTTAGTAGCAATTAACCGATGATTGAGGAAGTTTGTTCAATTTAGGGATCGGAAAACACATTCACCAAACCGCATTTATTTGGTTCAGAGAAAAATGTAATGAGTATTTGGCTCAGAAATCATCTGAGAAGTATTTGAGATAAGATGGTTCAGTATTTAGTTCAGTTGGTTCGGAAATCAGCATCACTCATCATTATTTGAGATGAGGTTAAATGGTTCAGTATTAGCTTCAGATTTGGTTAAGAAATTATCATCACTCGTCAGTATTTGAGATGAGTTGGTTCCAATTTTTATTGGTAAAAAGGACGGATTGATTGTGTTTTTTGGAAGCTGATCTGAAATACTCTCTGAAAGACCGGATTGAAAAATCTTCTTTTTCTTAAATCTGAAAAAATATTTAAGCGAGTGGAAAAAACTTACAATATGAGAAGTTACAAAATATTGTTGTTAAATATAGTTGGTCGATTTGATCAAAGGAATTTTGGTAAAAAAATAAGTTTTGTTTTTGAATAAAAATTAGCAATATGATAATTTTTAGTTTCTATTTTCTTTCATCTCCTCAGCTCTTTCGTTTTCTTTAGTTACCGGTGCATACTGCTTGTGTGCCTATTTTGGTTTGTTTTTAAAATATTGTCCGGATAAAACTTGAGATTAAACCTCTCTTATTGATTTTAATTTTCTCGTACCACAACTTTGTACCAACATTGTTTGAAATGTTTACGTTCTGACTTTTAAGCGCATTTAGAAAAAAACTTCCACAGAGTCAAGCGAGGTATCTGTAACCGGATAAGCGAAGGGTGTATTATCTTTAAAATGGAGACGCGAAAAAAAATCAATTATTTTCAAAAATGAGAAGAATGACAGCAACAATTGGTCCTCTTAGACACAGTTTTAACCAATTTCTCAGGCATTATCACATTTTAAGTGAAGAACATTGCGGTCGGAATGATTGTAAGCACTTCTGGACTGAAGATTCGCGTCTTTCAAGGCAGTTTTAAGTTCACAGACATAGACGACTGCTTGCAGAAATGGATATTGACACTCACGGCATCTAAGGCAAGCCAATTTTGAAATGAAAGAACAGTTTTGCAGATTTTGACTGACATATTGGAAAGTCAACTCCAAAGTTGGATCTAAGTGCAAGCTCTTTTTTTCATTAACTTAGAGCCGTAGCAAGTTTTGTTCCGAAATTTTTTAATCTATTTTGACATGAACAGAGCCATTCTGACACGCCTCGAAAGATGGCTGAAAAACAGCTCTCCCCACAAAGTATAAAATTTAAATCTAATTTGCAAAACGTTGTGTCGATGTAAATTTTATAAACGTTGTGAACAGCAGAGTCTTGTAAACTATCGAAAAGATGATTTATTTGCTTCCCTTGACCAACTTGTCATCTAAAAATGCCAGTATAAAGGACAGATTTGTCTTTGGAACTAGTAAGAACATTTCTGATCCTGGGCAGTGACCTGCAGAAATAATAGTGACAGTTAGGGTATGCTTCTCGTCGCCTTCTGTTGAAAGTTTCAATGGTGTCTCATTATCTGATTCCTGTGAATTTTAATAACGAGTTAAATGAACATAACGCGGCAATGCACTCAACAAATTAGCCCAAAGTTTATGACAATAGATTTTAAAGTGTTGGAGTTTTAACCTTTCGAAGAACTCAGGTTCCTTAAGGCCCATCATGTGATCTGTATGACCGTGCAAAAATAAATGAACCGTAGTTTGGGGTTCTCACAATTGAAGCGATAAATTGAGACCCCAGGAAGTTCTGATATTGGCGATATTGGAGATGCAAGTTTTAATGTGATTATAGAAAAAAATGAGATGAACAGTGAGTTAATAAATGATATCTTTAACTACAGATATAAACAGAATTAGACATTTGGTCGCATGATTAACGACACGTGAGAGTCCCAAAAACAATAACAATTGTTTTTAGTTAGAGCCAATTTCCTCAGATCGGAAAAAATTACTTGGAAGTTTTAATCCACTGGATAATAAAACAAAAACTCACATCATCGAGTCGCTGCTCAATTGGTGCAAAATTGAGCAATTTAACTGATAAGGTATAATTTAAGAAAAATGACGAAGTTGATTGAGGAAAGAAGTTTGCCGAAAAGGCATTTTGCATTAAAGCACTAACACAACTAATATCTAAAATACTTCAGCTTTGAATCCTGAGAGAGAGAATGAGACTGAGATGTTTGGATGTTGAGAAGTTTGGACGAATGAGACTGAGACTGAGACTGATAATGAGAGTGGAAGAAAAAATTTCTGAAAAGGATAGATACAGAAAACATTTGAAGGATTGATCCGATTGTGAAGAAAGGTAGATTGTGGATTGATTGAAGATATGTAGACGTTGAGTACAAGTGAGGTGACTTCGTGGAGCGCCAAAACAGAACAGGAGGTCAGTTCTATAACTGCAGGTGATGAAGACTATTGACTTTGTGCTAAAAACAGTTTTCTAATAGACTAGTTATAAAAAATTTAGCAATATTTGGTTGATATTCGGAGATTTTGAACCTTAGGGAAGAATATCTGTATTTGGTTCAAACGGGGAAGGCACAATTCTACTCCAATCCAAAACTATTTGCTGCGTAAGCTATAAATAAAATGTTAATAAAATTGTGAATTAAATATTGCGAACATATCTATTCATTCAGGATTATCAGCAAGCATTTGAGCTGTTTTTGTGAAACATCAAATAAATATCAGAGTTGAAAATATATTTACAAAAAAGTTTAAAAACCTATAAGATAATTAAATCAAAAAGTATACATCTGAAATGACTTAGTCAACCACGCGTGGGTAGCAATTGATTTCGAATAGTCAATTTCTAATCCAAACGCAAAGCTCAAATAAGTTTTTTTAAGCTTTTAACAACTCTGATTAAAAATTAATTCTGCCTTTTTCAGAGTTAAAAAAAAAACACCAAGGCTTGAAAAAAAACTGGATGCCAGAGAGCCGGACTATTCTTGACACCCTAGACTCGAATTTTTAGATATGAATTGTCAGAGACCTTGAATTATATTAGTTGACTAACTCATTAAGAATTGAGAAAAACTTTTGAATTAATAGGAAAAGGACATTGCGCTGTTTTCATTGTAGAATTGTTTAGCACTGGGACGCGTAGTAAGCTCTATCGTACGCAGTCAGATTGAGGTTGTACCAGTTAGCCATTCCCGTCGGGGGACTGAGAGAGCCGCGGGAGCCACCCGAGAGACCTCCTGGCCCTCCGCCACCGGCACTGCCAGCGATAAGTGCCTGCTCTTGTAATTGGTTGACCCGTTTCGGACTGGCCTTGCATATGACAGCACCCGAGGGTCTCCGGTCCATCGAGTAGTCGAAAGAGGCCCCTCCTCCACCCGCCCCGCCCGCAGCAGCCTCACTCGTGGGGGTAGCGGGGGACAGAAACCAGCTGTTGCTCCGCCCACTGAAACAATACTCCACATGTTCTAAACTGTAAGTTCCACCATTTGAAGGTGTTTTTTTGGCTAAGAATTCGGCTTCCAAATTGCACTTTCCAATGCACAATAACTTCGTATCTTTCCGTTTAATTAGGTTCTTTCATTTATAAAACTAAGAACGAAAAGCGGTTGAACGGCTTTGAATAATTTTGATGTTTTTGATTCTCAGTCATAGAAGCATTGAACCAATTAAAAGCAGGATACAAGTTAATACATTTCAAATTGATCAGCAAACTTAGATTTTTGATGAGCATTGAATAACAAAACTGTACCTGGTCGAAAAGATTTGACAAAAGGAGGGGAGCTAAACATTTCAGGGACATGATATTATAAATTTTGAATTATTTAGTCAGTTTTCAATTTCTGAAAGTACCATATAATTTTTTTAATTTTGGAAGTATGCATAATTCATAACTGGCTAGTGGGACGCTTAAAATAGAACTATTTGAAATAGAAGTTGGATATATCGGGACTAGCTCACAGTTCCTCTTACCCCTTCCCTTTAATCCATCTTAAACGATGAAGGGTAATAATTAGAACTTCGGTCAAAATGGCTTTGTTGATTTACCTGTGCTGAAGGTTCGTATTGAGTGGTGTCAGCACTGAAACAAGACGAAGACGATTACAAACTCATTTCATGACAAAAAATACTACTCACCCATTGTTATTTTTTATTCAAAAGCCACGACCATAAGCGCTTGTTTTTAGATGCATGACCTCACACCCGACCTGGGTTATGCTTCTGTCGTCTCATGATGCAATTTTAAAGCGAGAATCCATATCGTGTATGGTTGGCGATAAACATGAGGCACTCATTTAAATTGATGCTCACAAAACGTCAGTTCAAGATTGCTTGTCGTTACTTTCCTCGAAATAACTTTATTTTCAAAACCTCATAACTCAGACCATATATCCACTGAGGGCGCAGCTCAACCTTCATAGAAATGTATTTCATTGCACACACCAATAATGATAAAAGATTTATTTTCAATTTTTCCGGGTCTGTTATTGTCTGTTATTATTGCAGTTAGCTAGGAGCATACTCTTAGAAAGCTAAGCTTGGTAGTAAGTTGTACAAGGCTCGAACTAAGGAATTCCAATCATGGGCAAGGAAACTTAATCGAGTTGTTCGCTTAGTAGTTCCTTGAAACGTTTCAAATCGAATCTCCCGCCTGCTAAAGCAGTCTTTTGGTTGCTGTGCATTGCCAAATCAATTTATTTTGAATTATTTATAACAAAAAAAATCAACTTCCTCAAACGACAAACTTAAAAATTAGTGCAGTGCAGTTAGCAGTGAAATATTTTTATCTCGCAATATAAAAAAAATGACTGCTACATCATCTGTCTTTAAGTGGGAATAACTACAAATCAGCAGTCAAATTTTTTTTGCATAATTTTAGGTGTTTCAAAAACCGCTCGTAAAACGTCAAGTGTACGGCTGTAAAAAAAGCTCAGCGGTAGTCTGGCTTTCAAAAAAAGTATCTAGAAGGTTTCTCAGTGTCGAGAAAAATTGGTCGGAAAACGCACGCGCTTGTTTCTTGCCACATGACACCACATCCGACTTTTTTCATCTTCATGGTTTCCGTAAATACAATATAACCCTAATTTTCTACTAGTGTACTTTCGACTATGATCATGGAGGCGGTCATATTATTTAATGCTCTTAGATAGATACCTCAAAAAACGCTCGTAAAGGATTAAGTGAAGTTGCATTAAAAAAATTCAGGCGTGATTTGGATTCCGGGAACTATCCAAAAACTACTCTCGATGTCAAAAAAAATTGCTCACAACCGCGAGCACTTGTTTTTAGACGCGCGAAATTACAACCAAAGTTTTTATTTGATTTTTAACCACTCCCAAAGCACTATGTAGACCCTGTTTTGGCGAAAATTTCTGCGCCGCAGATAAAATTTTGAAAAAAAAGCCTAAAAAGAGTTCTTAGCTATTTTTTTATCACGTCGGGTACGGTAGAATGAACGATTGTCAAAAATTTAAATTCTGTCTACTATATTTATCGGAAAAAAAACAGACAGCAAAATCGAAAATACTAATTCGGAACCAAATTCTATATCGCCATCAACAACGATTTTCAAACATAACATTTCTCTACGTCAATTTGGTCGCAACGATTGTCAGCAATTACGAAAGCTTGGAGGCCAAACCTATCTTTCCGAGGCCAAACAAGTTCGAGGCCAAACAAGTTCGAAATTGATTAATTTTACGTTTTTGAACTTATTATTACGTAATTAACATTTAAAAACAGTACAAAAATTTAGCCCTAAGGGTCTCAAACCCGCGCCAAAGAACATTATATATAGTTTATTCAAACATTTGCGCAGTTGCATTAGCTTCTCGGCCATCGAGGCTTGTCTGTGTTTAATTCATTGTCTTTATAGTTCAACAAGCTTACTTTTGCTTTTTACATATGCTATTCAGGAGTACCAAAACGCAAAAACTGTCGCGTTTGTACCAAACTAAAAAATCAGTCCCATTTGTACCAAAATAAAAAATCAGTCCCACGTGTACCAAAATCTAAAACAGTTGTAGATGTACCAAAATCATTTATCAGTCCCGAAAGTCATTCAGTATTTCAAAAAAAAACTTCCTTTTCTGTGAATTTTTCAATTGTATTTGATTTTCCCTAATATATTGGTTGATATTAATAGTTGATAAAACTTTTTCTAATTAGCCTCATTTATTATGGTTATTATGTTTTTATTTTGCCGGAGAATAAATATTAACCGTTGAAACAAATTTTAGCCATAGAAACTGCCAAAATTCAAACTACGCCTTCAACCACTGCGTATTTTTGCCTCAAGATAAGTAATTATAACGTAAATTCCCTCTGCTGTTACGTAATTTTTCATCATATTTTATCTATAATGAACTCTTTTCCTAGAATGTTATGTAATTCTTATGTAATCATAATGTAATCTGCCCATACACATTTCAAGTCCTTCCGCAACTCAAACCCAGGCCTATTGATTGTAGATCACATTTATTACCTTTCGGCTATACAGTGCTGATTTAAATTATCCGGACAAAACGAACAAAACTTGAATTTTCAAACGCGTTTTTCTCAAATTGGGTTAAGATTAGACAAAAAGTGAAGAGAACAAAAGTTACTTAGAATTTCACCAGAATTAATATGGTGCCATTTTTTCTCCGAAATTCTCAACAAAAATTTTACCCCAAAAATGGGTCATTTTGGCTTTTTTCAATTAATCAAGAATTACGCAGAAACTACTTTGTTAATTGATGAGAAAATTATATCACAGGAAGCCTCTTACGCAGTTCAACAAAGTTTAAGAAGGGTTAAATCTCCAAAAACCAGTATAAGAGAAAAAATTATCACTTGATAGTCAATAAATGTGATTTTTACTATATAAAACCCAGAAGTTCTGTTTAAAAATAAATTTTAAACAATTTGCGCAAATTTTTGGAGATTTAACCTTTCTTATACTTTGTTGAGCTGCGTAAGAGGCTTCCTGTGATATAATTTTCTCATCAATTAACAAAATAGTTTTTGCGTAATTCTTGATTAATTGAAAAAAGCCAAAATGACCCATTTTTGGGGTAAAATTTTTGTTGAGAATTTCGGAGAAAAAATGGCACCATATTAATTCTGGTGAAATTCTAAGTAACTTTTGTTCTCTTCACTTTTTGTCTAATCTTAACCCAATTTGAGAAAAATGCGTTTGAAAATTCAAGTTTTGTTCGATTTGTCCGGATAATTTAAATCAGCACTGTAGTCATTTGAAAATGCATTTTTTGCGTTATGTTATTTTGTACATATAGGATCGTTTATTCATTTTGGTACAAACTCGACTGATTTCTTATTTTTGTATAAATGGCCGTTGGTACAAATGGGACCTCACCATTTTCAAAATTCGGCTTCCTTGTAGAGCCCTTGTTTTTGGCAGTGGGGTTGATTACTTAATATAATAATTAAAAAAGAAAAAAATTACGATTGTTTGAGGACGATTTTTACCTCGCCTTTTACCTTGATACTATAAAGGATTCTCCCTTTGATACTATCTTAGGGCATCTGTTTTCGCGCAACTAAATCTAATTTTTTCTCAAAGGCGCCAAAAATTTTATTAAACTATATTTTTTATTCATGCAGTGTTTTGCCTCAATTAGTCACCCTTTACTAACAAATTAGTCGAAATTTATATCCTATTTTTGATTATGGTCAAAATATTCTATCATTATGGTCGAAATATTTTATGATACAGCAACCAGCTTTTCTTTTTCCTTTTAAAATTGTTCATATTTTAAAAAACTGAAACTGTGAAAGTCGACTGTTTCCCTGCTGAGATGTACAGTTAATGCAGCCTCTTATGTATCCGAAGCCCCGTCTTGGAGCAGAAAGTGGTTTCATTTTTACAAAACCTAAATGAAATCTGAAATCAGACCAAAAACTGGATTAGTTCAAGCCTCTCTCAGGTTTCACACGTTAGTCCACTCTATATGTTTAGTTTTTTTGTTCGCGTCATCATGATTAACCTGAATGTAAACCACATCGACATCTTCGTTGTCTTCAGAGGTCAACCAAGTTGTTTCATCACTCAAAGCATCCTGACGCTGCAAACTCCCGGTGCGAGACAGCGCCGACAACTCTTGCAACGGGGGAGGGGAAGGGTATGGAGGTACGAACGCGGATTGGGGAACCGGGAAGCAGATACCGGGCTTCATCGGTATTACCATTTTAGGGGATGGAGACGAATCTGTTTGGGAGCTTTTGGATGGTATCGGGATCGGCACTGGTTTTGGGAGGATAGGCGGCGGGGGTAAAGAATCAGGCAGGTCATATAGGGGTTCGGAGCTGCTGCGAGAACTTTCGCCCGTGGATTGTCGGACTAAAGAAGTGTTGGATGCTCTAGGACGGGGTTTTATCTGTTGATGGAACCCTTTGCGGAGTGAGGGTCTTTGAGGGTTGCTGTTTTTCGAGGAAAACAAGGACTCAGATGGACTGGCATTGTTTTTAGGGGTCCACTCTGAAATTAAAAGACGGAACTTGCTATAATCTTATAGCTTTTCGATTCCAAAATACCATCATTGCCTTATCATCATCTGCACGCGCTTTCCCAGAATCTTAACCATAACCATCTAGTTTTATTTGGGCTCATGATAGCACAGTCATGGTCTTATTTTTATGAATCTTTGAGTTGATCGATAAAAACTTTTTGTGACGCCCGAAAAACTATATAGAAAACCATAATCAACACTGATAATATCTTAACTATAAGTATCGTTAATGCCAAACTGTTGGCTAAGTCGGTTTCCATGAAATCGTTTTCCAAAAGTTCAGAAAAAAGTACCTTTTCGATCAATTACATTTTTGTCAATCTGTTTTTGTGGCGAACAGCGTAAAAATGGATTCGAACATCAAATAAGACATTTTGTAGATGTGTGATATATCCGAAGGTGATGTAGCCAACAATTTGACTTGAGATAAGTACAAAATGTATGTTACTTGGTGATCTATTCGGTGTCGATCCTGTTCCCCCACTGGTGGACATTGTCCTGTGATGAGTCATGGTCGTGCTGGGCACACTGTGACACAAGATGGCCACTCCTCCCCTTGGAACACTGCCTGCCATTGGTAAGTTTGCGGGTCGGTTGTTCTGTGGTACAGAAATCGTAATTTAGAAAACATAGTTTTTCAAAATTTGATCTGGCTCTGAGCTTGGTCTGAACTGTTCTAAGGCTAATCTTTTTTCAAGGCAAACTTCACAAGGGGCGGATCGAAGATTTTCTTGAGGGGAGGGGGCGGATTGAGAAAATTGTTGACGATCTTTTCGACCCCCCAGCTTTAAGTATCAAATTTTAAAAAAAAAACTACTTTAATTTTGTCATATTGCAGTGAAACTTGGCATAGTGACGAATTAATTGTGAAGATATGTTGTTCAAACAACGCGTAAAACAACTATAAAAATAGAACACTTCAAAGGTGAGTTGAAGTCGAAACAAGACAACGTTTGACAAAAATATCGAATTACCTAAAATAAATGAAATTTAACAAAATTGAGTCTTTGATTTGTCGCGGCAAATCTGTTAATGACATCCTCGACTTTTATTTCCGCATCTTTAGGGATGTAAATAAGCCCCAAAATTGAGAATCGATCCTACTTCATGTGTGGGGGCGGAGGTAAATTTTAAGTAGTTTCATTTCATGCACAAAAAAGAGCGCCCTATACTTCATGCTTCATGCTCAAGAGCGCTCATCTTTTATGGGGGCTAAAAGAGCCAATGACTCTACGAGTTTTAAAGGTCCAGTTATGACTTCGATTTGATGCCAAGTACAAAAATGCCGGCGTTTTTTGTTAAAAGATTGTAAAATATCCAAAAAGGGGACCATTTGGTATTCTGTAGGGTCAAATTACTGGGGGGGATCGAAGAATTCAAGGGGGATTTTAAAAGAATTTTTTGTTTGCAAAAATAGCTGATCGGAGCATTCTGTGTTACTTCGGCAACAACGGTGTAATTAAAAATTGTCATTACAAGTTATTATTACAAATTATAAGGTGAACCTGTGGAGTTGGTTGTGCGTATAATGACTGTGGTTGATTCCTCTTGCTTGCACTTGATATTGCAGCTGCATTAGTGTTGGTACTAGTAGTGGTAGGAAGGAGGTGTCTCTGTTCGGCTCTCTGGTTCTGTCTGTACTCGTGTAGCAAAATAGCCCCACTCAGAAGGAAGATCTCGATGGCTATCGCTAACAGAGGGAACACCCAACTGTACTTGCCTAAACACACCAATCTAAATAAATTGACGTTCAACTGATTTTTTTACTCGATGGATCAAATCTAAAAAAATGGAATATTTTTTTATTAAAATAAAATCTAGCACTGACAAGAACTTATTGTTACCACCAGGGGCGGATCTAGGATTTTCTCGAGGCGGGGGGCGGATTTTCAAAAATTTTTTGAAAATTTTGTCGACCTTTTTTTTAGGTCGACCGAATTGATTTTCCGAGCTCTCACAAAGCACTAAAAAGACCCAAAGACCCTGTTGTGGTAAATTTTTGTGCGCCGCAGGCAAAATTTTGAAAAACAAGCCAAAAAAGACGTTTTTAGGCACTTTTTGGAAAATTTTGACCCAAAAAGTTGCGTTTGTTTGGCGCGCGCTCCTCAAATTAAGTATATATTGGCGCCGAAGGCGCCTTTAGAAGCCTTTAGAAAATTTTTAGGGTCCGTCACCAAATGTGGATATCTCAAAATAGTACAAAGGGGGGACCCTTTGGGTAGGCAGGGGGTCGAATCCCTGAGGGAGGAGCGTCCGCCCCTCCCCCCTAAATCCGCCCCTGGTTACAACCACTTAATGGAAAGAATCTTTCGATTTTGTGATGATTTTTGTAATTGTTTGCCTTAAAATTATTAAAAGAGATGTCGTTTGTGCAGTAATGTCGTTTGATACACCTTGCGGAAACCCTTTCCGTCATGATTGAAATGTTTTAGGCTGATAATAGCAATTAATATCATAAAATGGTGTAATTTGGGAGGAATGTTACCTTTGACACTGAGCTTGAACACTTTCTTGGCCACTCCGCTGCTGGTTCTGAACTGACACGCAAAGTACTTCTGGTCGCCCTTCTCAACTGGATCTATCCGAAGAGTGGTGCTCATCTCGCTCTTGTCACGTGTGATCGTGTACCTGAAACGAAACTCAAAGGAGCTAAAAAAATTATGAAAACAAAAAAGTTGCAAAAAAAATGCCAAAAATATTCTTAACCAGGTTAACAATGCTGGTTGTAAGCCAGGTTAACCAATACAAAAGATAGTTTTTGCTCTTAACAGAAAGCTAAGAGCAAAAATCTCTTTTATTGGTACTTTTGCTTGTTGATAAAATATATTAATATTTTAATTGCGTGGGGATTTAAGAGCGTAGAGTTGAATTAGGAAACCCGCATAAAACTTTTTTTCTGAATCTCACTGAATATTAAGTAGTTTGAGGCGGTTCCAATTTTTCTGTGTAGTCAGTCTTTTGGGAATTTGATTTCCCGAGGATTCAAGAAAATATCGCGTAATTTTCCAAACATTTCAGTTATTCAATTCAGGATGAAATTAAAAACTCTCAAGGATAATTGATCGTCCGAGATAAAAAGCGAGAATTTATGAAATCTTCTGCTTTTCTGTTGCACAAAGTGCATGCATTACAAGGATCGAAGTTTGTATACGCTTAGTCGTTGAACAAGTCCTTCATAGGGGTAAGTTTGACATTCTTAGCCAGGGGTGGGGGATAACTTAGATCTGGCTAGCCAACTGAAACTACCTAATAGTAGCAATACGGACCTAGGGGTAGATTTGGTCTGTTGATTGTTCCTCGTAGGACTGTTATTGGGAGAAGACACTTCGAACCCACTGTCGTCGAAGTCAGACGACACTGGCTGACCTTCGCTGAAAATGAAAAAAAATATATATGTTTTCTTAGATCAACAGATTGCATATCCCAGCCCGAGGCGGATCTGAATCTGAGTCGACGTTCTTAGGTCAACCCCCCAAGCTGCTATTCCGAACTCTCAAAACATTTAAGGAAACATATTTTGCTAGAAAAAAGTTTGGAGCTGCCATGCAATTTTTTAGAACAATTTTGGACCAAATCTTTTGGACCAAATCTTTTAGTGGCAACAAAAAGATTGTTTTGAAAGCTTCAGATATTCAAATTGGCTTAAAAGAGCTATTGAAGTTTTCCAAAATAGTTTTCCTTGCAAATCTGCATCATTTTTTCCAGCTCATGATTGAGTTAGCCTGAAATGTCAAATTTTCATTCAATATTTCCGTTCAAATGGTACATTGCTTTATTACATAAAATTGTATATAAATTGTTGGCAAATTTAAGCTACACTTACGCATCGTTTCCGCGGGGGTCCCTGGAGTAGCTGAACCAGAGCACTTCAGCAGTGGGCACTGCCTCAGCCTGGCACGTGAAGGAAAAACGGTCTCCCGTTGACACCAGGAAACTGTCCGCGCCGGCCGGAGACGTCCGGATCATTTTTGGAATGTCTAAAAGAGAAACAAAATTTCAAACTACCTTTCACAATAAGATTTTCAAATACTAAAAAAGTTGAACTTGGACAGTCTAAGAGACCCAGGGTGAAAATTTTTCACTATCAACGAAATGAAATCCTATTTTTTCTCTAGTTAAAAAAGTTCGACTGATTTAATTATCTGGTCGAACAATTGGTCTTTGTAGAAATCAACCAAAATGTGTCGATTGCCCCTCTGAGGGATGCGCTTTGCGTGGAGCGCACAGTAATTGCATAAATCACTGGCGCAAAGTAAGAAATCTACCTCTGGGAAAAATTGAAATGTCGGAACGGATGGTGGTTGAAGAAAGTCTACTACTGTCTGCACTTCTGAGAGACGAAAAGGGGGGACAAAAACATCCAAACTTAAATTATGCAGCAAATTTATCCGCTCACGCTTTATGTTAAAAATACCGACTTGTGTTTTATTTTAAGACTAGCTAAAAAAACTAACTTTTATCCAAGTGAAAGATAAAACCTCCAAAAAATGATTTAGTAGATACTTTGTTCGGATTTCTTTAACTACTTTCTCCCTCTGTAGTACTTTGTAAGGAATCCCCCCTTTTTTGCTTAGAGGAAGGGATAATTAATGATATTTTTTAGTTTAGTTTGTTCAATTCAGTTGGTTGAAAGTAATGTTTCTAGTCAGGGGCGGATCTAGGATTTTCTCGAGGGGGGGGGGCGGATTTTCAAAAAATTTTCGAAAATTTTGACGACCTTTTTTTTTTTAGGTCGATCAGATTGATTTTCCGAGCTCTCTAAAAGCAGTAAAAAGACCCTGTTTTGTCCAAATTTTCTGCGCCGCAGGCAATTTTTTTAAAAAACAGGTCAAAAAAGCCGTTTTTGGGCACTTTTTGGAAAATTTTGACAAAAAAACGCGTTTTTTTGGCGCGCGCTCCCCCTCGAAACTAGTATATATTGGCGTCCAAGGCGCCTTTAGAAAAAGTTTAGGGTCGGTCGGCCAAAAATGGATTTATTAAAAAGTACCAAAGGTGGGACCCTTTGGGTTGGCAGGGGTTTGAATCCCTGAGGGGAGGGGCGTCCGCCCCCCCGCCCCCCCTAAATCCGCCCCTGTTTCTAGTAGTTCTTACGTATGAGTTTGGAGGTGCATGATCTGTAGTCGTTCTGGGCAGTGTCTGGGTTGAAGAAGCTCATCCGGCACTCCCATGTCCCCACCTCATCCAGACTGATCTCGGATATCTCCAGAGTGTCCCCCACCACACGCAGTCTACTACTGTCTGCACTCCTGAGAGACGAAAAGAGGGAAGAAATGAAGAAAAAAAAAGAAACGATAAATAGAGAACTTAAAAGAGTAAAATGAAAAGACAAAAAGTTGAATAAATCTAAATTAGAGTAAAATTGGTTAATCAGTGAGGTATTCTCATCAAAAACAAGTCCACACGTGCGCTCATTTTCTTTTTAAATTTTCATTCGTTGAAATCAGAAAAACCATATTTTCTTTATGTCGCTGTTGAGATAATGATTCGGATTTCTTAGTTAAAAACAAACTTTTAGAAAAAAATGCTGCAAAGATATCTAAGTTGTATAACAATTAACCCAGGTTGACCTCCATAAACCGAAATGCTTATCTTACAACTCTATACACCGAAAATGCTTATCATACAATAAGGGGAAGATCTAGGATTTTCTCGAGAGGGGGCGGATTTTTAAAAAAAATCAAAAATTTTGTCAACCTTTTTTTAGGTCGACCAAAGTGATTTTCCGAGCTCTCCCAAAGAACTAAAAAAGCCTTGTTTTGGTCAAAATGTCTGCGCCGCAGGCAAATTTTGAAAAAAAGTGGTCGAAAAAAGCGTTTTTAGGTACTTTTTGGAAAACTTTGACCAAAAAATCGCGTTTTTTCGACGCACGTTTTCCTCTCAAAATGAGTATATATTGGCGCTAAAAAATTTTAGGGTCCGTCAACAAAAACGGATATCTCAAAATAGTACAAAAGGGAACCCATTGGGTCGGCAGGGGGTCGAATCCCTGAGAGGGGGCGTCCGCCCCCCCTAAATCCGCCCCTGCGTATAATTCCATACATCAAATGTATGGAAAAATGCTAATCATACAATTTTAAAATCATTGAAAAAAAATTCAAACTAGTTTCTGCGACTATTTGAACCAAATAAAACAGTCTGGTGATAAAAAAAACAATGTTTCTTCCATATATGAAAATTGTATGTCTAGCATATTTTGATGTCTAGCATTTTTTTCAATTAAAATTGAAATTGCCCCAAAGTTTTTTTTGTTTAACCGCAATTCGAATTTTGTACTCAAACAAACATTTTCCTAAAAAAAAAAGTTTTTTGTCTGCAAAACGTAGTCCTGGATGCACAAAAATTTGATTTTTTTTCCGTTTTTGTGAATAACTTTTTTCAAAAAGACTAAAAATTCCTATTTATTTATGGCATGTTTATACGCCTTGATCAATATCTGATAATTTTAAAATTCTAATTTTAGAAATAATCATCTTTGAAAATTTTTGCCAAAACTTAAAAGTTTGATGCTTTCAGTATATGATTTGTGAAGACTACCAACACAATTCAGGTAGTTTCCAATGCATTGTTAATGCCAGACGAGCAACCCGTTTGAGTAAACCATGGTTTAAGTCACTTGTGTTTGGTCACGATCACATCCCAGACATTTGGAGAAATAAAATTTTTAAAAAATCAACTTTTTGGTATATGAAAAAATGCTTATCCTACCATTTCCATATATGAAAAATGCTTATCTTAGAGTTTTCTTCACCTTTTCTGTATCTATAGAATTGTACGAAATTGTATGACAAGCATTTTTGGTCAACCGGAAAGCCAGCATCAAGTTCAGTTAAAAGAAAAACTTTTAAAAAAAATGTTTCAATTTCACCTGAAGGGTGACGGATCGGATGACTCAGCCTTGACATTGAGATTGCTGTCGCAGTTGTTGATACACCACTTGCGACTGTCTATCGTCACATCGCTCCCCGAGAGGTCCTTGAGAGGACATGGAATGGAAACTGGACTGCCTAAGCTGATTCTGATACTCTCAGCATTGCCACAAACAGCGTCTAAAATCACAACTTGCATAAAATTTACCTCAATTTGTTTCGATTTGAGTGAATTTAACACACGATTCGGGAGTGTTTTTTTTTTCTATCTAACACACAAACAACGAATGAGTTAAAAACTAAAGGTGATTCTGAAACTCTCAATATTGACACAAACAAAGTCTTAAACAAATACTAAACACAAAACGACTGTTGGCGTCTGGCAACAGGTGTTACAATTTGGCCTCGAAAAAGCGAGCATGATGCACAGAAGGTCCTTTTTACCATCAATCGACTGAACCCTTTGAAAAATGTGCAGACTTTTCGAAAAACTTTGATGTCCATAATTCTTTCTCAAACATGCTAATCTTGGTCTGGGTCTAGAAACGCTTTCTTGGTCTGTCTTCTCAATTCTGTATGTACCGGGTTCTTTTTTCTCAAAATGGGCGTATTCTAATAAAGATGCAGAGTACGATCAAGCAATAATTTAGAAACATTCAGCGAAAATCAAAAAGATGATAAGGACAGCCGGTTACTGTGCATGTAGCACAGAATAGTCCGACCAATCTTAAAAAATACAATTTTTTTTCTAGAACTGAGGCAGATTCGACAGTCACTATAAATTAGATAAAATGGAAAACGTTTTTGAACAAAAAATTTTGAAAAATGTTGATTCCCAAAATGGCACGAGCAAACTCACCTTATTCGCTGGAAATTAGACCAAAAATCAAAAAATTCAAAGAGATTTTTTTTGATACTAGGAAAAAAACTAAGACATAACCGAATACAAAGTTTCTCTACATTTTCAATTGTAGGAATAATACAATTAACGACGCATTTGAGATTTTAAAAAATTTTCTGGATTCAAACATTTGATTTTCACTTTGATTTATTGAATAATACATTGGTTTCCTGTTTTTTTTTCGCCTTGTTAATCTAAATTCAAAGATATGCTAGCTGCGTTTTCAATAATTTGACAGACAACAAATAATCTAGAGAGAACACAATTATTTTAATTGCTAAGCGCAATGCAATATCTAGAGCAGTGCTGTTTCCCGGAAAGAACATGTAACAAAAACTTTCCAGAAGAATGAAATAAAAACAAGAATTTTTTTAAAACTTTTTTCTATTGAGCTCTGCTAATTCTAGACAAAAAATAGATTCGAAAATAGCCATCCATACTTTTGCCAAAAAATAAAAGACGTCGTTTTAGAATTGTTCATTCAAAAATGCACCAGCCACATATAAAATGCTGCCAAAAAAAGGATCTTCATAGTTTTTTGGGACATTTTAAATTCGATGTATTCGATTATGCAATAAAAGAAATATATGAATATTTTTTCAACTCTTGGAATCCTTTTTCCGCGTCTTGTAACCTATAGAAAAATTTGCTTTAAATGAACTTGAAATGATTCGGGAAATATTAACCACATACGCTGCGCGTTAATTGAAAACAGTAAATTTCGAGAGCCTTTAATTATTTAAACGTATCTATCCAACAAATAATTTTTTTCATCTGTCAGAAATTTTCAAGGCTGTTTACAAAATGGCCAATTGGGCAATTTTGAAGCTCTCATAACTTCCCGAAAATTGATTAAATGTGAAATATCATTCCAATTTTGAGATAGTAAAAAAATACCAGACTGTAATTAAAAGAAGACTGCTTGTATCAGCTGGTTGAAACCCTGAATGTTCCGACTGCCTTTTAAAGTCTATGGAGCAGTATTAACATGAAGAAAATAGTTGTAGAAAATTAAAATGAATTTTTCTTTAAGTTTGAGATTTTTCGTGAAAATCATCCCTCATACGCCATATAATGTACAAAGTGATAGATTCAGCTCCTATTAAGAAACTAAATTGGGCAAATAAGTTTCCTTCAACCATTTTGGAACTATTTTTAGGACGGATTAAATTTCTGCTTGCACATTAATAGCGCGAAATACATCGCGCGTTCATTGTCCCAAATTGGCCAAAATGGCAATCTTTAAACTCTCATTACATTACAACTAAAAATGAATATCTTTTCAAATTTAGGCTCAGGATAATAACACTTTTCGACTGATACAAAAAAAGTCCGTAAAAAATGGCTCTTTAAAAAGTCGAAATTTGTCGGAAGACCCGCCCCGAGCACAAACATTCCGTTAATTTCGTAACAAAAGTCGGAACAATATTTAGAATTGGACAGGAGAATTGCGAGCATTCATTTTCCGATTTTCTACAGCAAAAGTTGGCAGGAATAATGTTTACTTATATAATAAGATAGAAAGGGATTTATCAACTATTTCAAACATTCCGTCCTTTGGGATTTTTGAAACCATAAAAAGCCAAATTAGCTTTTTAAAGCCCAATAGCTTGTTCGCAAAAATTGATCACATGTAGAACTTTTATCTTTAAGCTCAGGGCGACGATACCTTTCAGATGGTAAAAATTGCGGCAAATTTGATACAAAAAATTGATTGAAGAAAAAATATATATATTCTGTTACTTTTTTACTTTCTTCAAAAGTCAAATAATTAATGCTAGAACAAGAACTAAGACAAAATTAGATTCAAGGCCCCAATGAATATAGCTTCCTGGATTTTTTGAAGCCAAGTATAAAATGGTTTTTGCTACTGCTTTGAAAATTGAAAAAAAAAACGTTCTTTTTTGATAACCCAAACGGGGTAAAAACGATCAACACAGGTCATTTTTAATGAAATTGTGTTCATTGAAAAAAAAAAACGAATTTAAAATTTCTGCTTTGCTCATTTTGTCTTGATAATTTAGATGAGTATCCTATTTGCTTATAGGATAAATAAAAATTGGGAAAACGCGTGCCCAAGGTATGCATTTGAAGTCCAATACAGAAAACAGGCTATTTTTGTTCAAATTTTTGCCAAAATGAAAAATGAAAGATACTATTTCAAGGGTACTTTATTGGTCAAACCATTTCCAATAGTCGAAACACCAGATGTGAAAAAATTGCATAACATATTAAAAATTTAGATTTTCAAAGCCCTATAATTTATCAAAAAATTATTACAAGGTGAATGCTTTTTATGTTTTTACTTAAAGGAATTGATTTTTTTTCAGATGGCAGGAATAAAATCTGCCAAAAACAATAATTTCCAGTTAAAAGTAGTTCCAATAAAAAAGTCGGTACAATTAGACGCAGGTTGTATGGAAGTTTGAAGCGAGGGTTTTCAGAAAATGTTAAAAAATTATAAAGACCTTTATCTAAGTGGGCCCAATTGATTTTCCGAGCTCTCTTAAATCACCATAAAGATACTATTCCGACAAATTTTTCTACGCTCCAGTTAAATTTTTGAAAAAACGGGCCATTTTTGGAACTTTTTTTGAAATTTTTGGACTTAAAAATTGCGTTTTTTCGATGCCCACTCTCCCTTAAAAATAGTTGATTGGCGCGCCCCTTGGTATACCGACTAGAGGTGTAGTTAAGTAGTACAAAAGGGGGACCCTTTGGGTGGTGATGAGGTCGAATCACCCAAAGAAGAAGGCATCCCCGCCCCCAAACACCCCCCCCCCCCCCCCCCAGTGACCGAGTCATTTTTAATCTACACGTTTATCGAATTCCTTTTAGAAAAATTCTGATTTTCCTATTTTGAATCAACAAACTACTTGAAACGTTACTAAATGGAACGAACAGACGGAAGCGTTTTTGTTAGTAGTTCTGAAAATTATTAGGAAATATAATCAACTTGATTAAAAAGTTTCTAGCGCTTATTTTTGATATTCCCTCTCTCGGAACTCAAAAAGCCCTCCCCTGGCAAGCATTTATGGATGGTTTTAACATTATGTAGACGTCGACGTGAATATTCTGGTTTTTTGATTGGCATGCACGCGCTTGTTTACAGGTGCTGATAAAGTTACCATGCAGCAGATTTTGACAGATGATAAATCATCAAACAAATAAAGCAATAAATTCACACTAAGGGTCAGGGGCGTGTGCAGGAAATTTTTGACAGAAGGGCGTTTTTTTTTAATTTAGTCGACTTTTTTTAGGTCAGCCATTATGAAGTTTTTGAGCTTTGTCGAAACCCAAAAATGACGATATTGAACAAAACTTTCTGCACCGCTCGCAGCTTTTGACCAAAACGGATCAAAAATGGCGTTTTTATTTAGAAAACTTTACATTTCCTAAAATGTATATTCCCGTCAAAGGCATGAGTCATCTTCAGTAAAACTGTTAGGTTGGTCCGCCTGAAATGACCTCGACGTAAAATAGTAACAAAGGGGGACCTTTTGAAGAAATTAGCAACCCGCATGAAAGAAGAAGTAGACAGGAACCCCCTCCCCTCGGCGCGCTGCCGCTAAAATTCATACAATATTTTTTCCCAGCTAGTTTTCTGTTATTTGAGTTAGTTGTTTTTTTGTACTACAAAGACCATGCTACTACAACTAGCCATGCAGTTTTACATACTAGGAATGAATCTGGGCCCGGCCGTGCTGTCCGCGGCCGCTCTGATCCGACGTGATCGCTTCTTCCGAGGCGAATCAGAGTCTGTCGGCGGAGTGGAGGAGGAACTGGCAGCTTTGATATTTGCTGCAGAAATGCACCAAAAATTGATTACTGATGGAAAAGAAATCACTTCAAATTCAATTTTTGCGCTTGCTAATTGAGTTTGGAACATCTGCTGGGATCTTCGCCAAACTGAACGTTAAATAAGATTTATGGTGAGTCACCCCGTCGTTTTACAAGCTTTTATATGAAAGCCGTCAAAAGTGTCCACGCTAATTAGGTTTCATTTAAATTCGGTGAGAAAAAAACAAAAAAACTTATGTAAAGCCTTATATTTATGGGCACATTTTTACTCAAAAATTTCTTCAAAACGGTCATTTTAACAATGAGCAATAAACATGTGAACTTAATTGTTTTAGAGAGGACTTTTCGAAAAAAAACAAAATCCTTGAGTTGAATCGAATGAAAGGTCGAAAAGATGTTTTTTTTTTCAAATTCAATTTGCTAGTTTGATAAATTACAAGCAATTCTGATTGATGATTGATAAGTATAAATTGCTTACCGAATGAGGTTGGCCTGAGGCTGAACTGTTTGACCCTTGGAGAGACGGAGTTTCGGATGTAGCAGCCATACACACCCTTCAGCTGCGCTGTGAACTCGTGAAGGATCAGTTTACAAGAGTACTTAGTCATACCCTCTCCTCTATTCTCCATGGTAGGATCTAGGGTCCATTTTGGTCTGTAATGATTAAAAACAATATGTATAATTAGTAGCCAAAAGTTTTTAAAAACAAAATTAAATAAAAATTGCAATTGACGTATTTTAGAAAAAAAATATGCATGCAAAAGCTAATTTGTCAGGCTTAATTTGTGTCTAAATTTTTTTTTTAAATAACAGCATGCAAAATTCTGTCAAATTGGAAGTTTTTTAATCGATTCTGTTAGTCCGAAATTTTTGAAGCTCTACATTAATTAAAATTTTGGCGAGCACATGATTTTTTTAAAATCAAATCAAGCATTCAAATTTTTTTGCTCCAATTCTTGAAGTGTTTGATTGATCGATAATGGCACGCAGGTGGTTTTGCGTGAGAGAAGGCAAGAAATTCTGAAAGAGAAGTCTATTGTTGCAAAGCTCTATACAATTGATATCAATTTTTTACTATAAATTTTACTAGACCATAGAATCAGGGGCGGATTTAAAGGGGGAGCGGGGGGGGGGGGCGGACGCCCCTCCTTAGGGATTCGACCCCCTGGCGACCCAAAGCATCCCCCTTTGTACTATTTTGAGATATCCATATATGGTGACGGACCCTAAAAATTGTCTAAAGGCGCCTTCGGCGCCAATATATACTTACTTTAAGGGTGGAGCGCGCGCCAAAAAACGCAATTTTTTTGGTCAAAATTTTCTAAAAAGTGCCTAAAAACGCCTTTTTTGGCCTGTTTTTCAAAATTTTGGCTGCGGCGCAGAAAATTTGACCAGGGTCTTTTATGTGCTTTGGGAGAGCTCGAAAAATCAATTCGGGTCGACCTAAAAAAAAAAGGTCGACAAAAATTTCGAAATTTTTTGAAAGTCCGCCCCCCCCCTCGAGGAAATCCTAGATCCGCCCCTGCATAGAATCATCCCAGCCAATTTCGTATTTCGTTCCATGCAGCCAATAAAAAACTCCAAAACAAGCCACGAATGATAAATAAATTATTTCCAGAAAAATTACACTTCGCATGAAAAAAGGTCAGTTTCGTTGCATTGATTTGGCGGTCAAACACAAAAATGTCAGGAGATACCATTGTAACCAGGTGCTGATATTGAAAGGACCCCTTGATTTATGGGGACCCCTTCAAGAATTCGACCCCTGATCGCCGACGGACCCTAAAAATTTTTTTAAAGGCACTTTTGGCACTAACGTAGGCGTATTTTGACTGTGGAGAGCCCGCTATAAAAATGCACCCACAGCCTGTCTGAGCCAAAACCAAAAAAATAACACATCCGAAGTTTAAATTCGATTTATATTCCAGTTAAGATTTGCAGTCAATTTAGGTGGTATAAGGAAAAATTTGAGCATCCGCATCATCAGGGGCACAGATGGAAAGGAAACGAACGTATAAAAGTTTTTTCTTTTTTGAAGCGACGTAAAAGAGGCCAAATAGTCGATATTTGTGTGTTTGATCAGAAATGGACTATCAGTTGGGGACGAACAAACAAATTGATTGCCAGACAAGCAAAACAAAATTGAAACTCCGCCTTGAAACCTCCGGTAGAGAAACAATGATGTCAAATCGGCGTCAGTGCTTCTCTGAGTCCAATGGTGTACTTGCAAGTACTTGCAAACGTTTTCTGTTCCATGAGGCAAACAACATTGACGAGCGTTCTCTTTAAATGAACACACATGATGTTCCTTCAAATTAAGGAAAAATACATGCTCAATTGCGTCCGGTTATTGCTAGTTCAGAAGGAGTCAAACAGCGCGAATGAATTCCTTGTCGGGAGATTAAAAAAACAGTTGCAGCTTAACGGTTTCGTCAATTTGTTCATATGTGTTTGCTCATATCAGCTGATTTTTTTCCTTGAGATTGTTTGTAAAAAGAGTAGCTGGGTTTTGTATAGTAGCAGAAAGTTTTTCTTCCCTGATGAAATATAAAAAAAACTAAAAACCTAGCGTTGACGACTTGATGCCCAATGTGAAACTTGGAGGTATCGATTAGCTGAGTAGTTGAATTCCTAATTGTTGCACCATTACTTTGATCCACGATCTGTTTGTTTATCCAGTTCTCTTCTCTTTTGGATAGAAATCATGCTGCACTTTCAGCCATATCGTGTTTACTTTAATCAGTTTAGTACCCCGTGTATCGCTGTCCGCGGAGTTAATTTCATGTGGCGCATTTTTTCAATGATCAGAGATACGTTAAATTAACCTTTTAAAGATATCAGTTTATCCTGTGAGGCTATCAAGCTAAACCAAAAGTAAATTCTGTCACGTTGGTAAGGAGCTGTAGATTCGGTTCTTGTTTATCTGCAGCAAAAAACAATGGTTGGGCTGGTAATTTTTTTTTGAGTTTTTATTTTGTGGTGCTACTTTTGGGCTTTCAATCAAAAAAGTAGCTTATCTTTCAGAGATTCCCATGTCCCTAGATTTGTCAAGGATCCCACAATGTTGTGTATCACTTCACGCGGTGCCACGTGAGCCTATCTAATTGCCGTAGCAAGTCCCAAGTTTTGAAACAGAATTTTGAGCTCTACGTTATATTGGGCTAAGATACTGAGAGGATCGAATATCCTCGCTTCTGTAGAAAGTACTATTTAAAGTGACATTGTAGTTGAAGTTTTTGCCTTGCTTGTCCGTTGCACAAAACGTGTTTTTTTTTTCTGGTACTGGCCGACCACCAGCAGTGAAGCTTATGGCTAACGATCCGATAAACTGCAGCATCAGTAAATTTTCCATTTTAGTTTGAAACTAATTTTAGAATTACAGATCTGAAAATGACGTATTGATAGAAGCCAATCAACATTTCTGGTCGCGTTAACTACGTCCCCGGGTGGACCAAAACTTCTTATCATACAACTTTCTTATTTGAAAAACTTCTTGCCATACAGTTTCATACAATTACACACGTACAAAAAACTGTACGAGATCTCTATGATAATCATTTTTCAATATATGAAAGTTGTATGAAAAATATTTTTCCACAAACCAAAAAGTTGATTTTAAAAAAAATTTATTTCTGAAAAATTTTGGGTTGTGTTCGTAACCGATCGCAACTTACAAAGACCTTGGTTTATTCAAAACACCAAAGGTTGGACGGTATTGCCTTTACAATGCATAGAACACGACCTGTAACAAAGAAAACGACAATGCATATAATGAAAGTAACAAACTTTAAAAATTTGGCAAACTTTTTCAACGATGATTATTTTCAAATTTGAATTTTAAAATTATCACACATTGATCAAGACATACATAAACATGCCATAGAAAAGAAATAGGAGTTTTCAACGTTTTTGAAAAAATTATTCAGCTAAACGGAAAAAATCTAACTTTAATGTATCCAGGACTACGTTATGCAGACAAAAAATTAAATTTTTTTTTGGAAAATGTTTGTTTGAGTTACAAAATTTGATTTGCGACTAAAAAAACAAAAATTGTTTTCGAGGCAATCGCAAAATTACTTGGAAGATATTTGTGTCGCCATGTCATACAATTTCCATATATAGGAATTGTATGATAAGCATTTTTTTCAAAAATAAAAACCTCGGTTTTTTTATCACCAGACTGTTTTATTAAAATCAAACAGCGGCAGAAATTAGTTTTTATCCTTTTTTCACCCATTTTTTGATATTATACGAAAAATTTATGACAAGCATTTTTCCATACATTCGATGTATGGATTGTATGATAAGCAATTTTGGTGTCTGGAGGTCAACCCGCGTCAGTTACCGGATTTAATCAGTTTTAGAATTTTTTTTCGCTTATTGGTCCAAATAAAAACTAAATTGCTTTCAAAGCTTAAAGTCTAATGTAACAAGGATAGCCAGTTACTGTGCAAGTAGCACAGAGTGTTTCGACCATAGTCTTAAGAAACACAATGTTTTTTCAATTAATTGTAGTTTTTTGTCGGCGTTGTGTGATAAAAGGAGCTCAAAAAACCAAAGATTAGGTACATTCCATAGCCATACTAAAATGAGCAAGTTGAAAAACATTTTTTTGTAAAAAAAAATAGTAGAAAATGAGAAAAAAATTCAAAAAAAAATTATCTGGAAATTTTTTCAAGTCTTATGCAGTTTTTTGAAAGTTTTGATTCCAAAAAAGGTGCTAAAATAAAAAAATTTAAAATAACGTTACCCAAGTATAACTAAGGTTTGACGTTTTAAATTAGGCTATTGTAAGTTTTTTAAGCAATTTAAATAAGACTGCTCGCTCGCTTTATTCGCTCGAAATAAGGCGAACAATTAAAAATTTCAAATCGGTTTTTCTTATAACTGGGAAAACTTTTTTGCCTGGTCACGAAAACAAAAAAAACTAAAGCAGACCCGATTACACAGTTTCTCCGTCTTTTTAATGGTCGGAACAACAACAGCTTGTCAATTGAAGTCAGTTTAATTAATGGCGGGAGAAATTGATTAGCAGGAACAGGGTAAGCTCGGAAAAGCAGTTTGGTCGGTCCATTTATTTTTTTTTTGAAAATCCACCTTTTGAAAAAATTACATCAGCCCTTGATTGCAATACTTTCCTATCAAGGTCAACCAAGTTTCAAGAAGCGTTGGTAAAATTTGTTTTCTTTTCAGCGACTGTCCTCAAAAAACTTAAGCAGCCGAGATACTGGATAACCATGAAAAACTGATTATAATCACAAACCTCTTTTAGATTAGATTTACGAAAATCTTTGACTTGATTTTTGGAGCTTACTCTCGCACCAAAATTTGAGTTTAAAAAAGGTCAGCTTATGACTTAGGCCATTGAACTATTTTGTTTGGAATACTTGAACTATCCTAGCTTCTGCCATATGATCAACCTCGAATAATTTCAATCTCGGTAAAAGAATAACTTAACGGCAGACTCTTTTTGAATCTCCCCATCTGCGAACTTTCATAAGCATTTTTTGCGGT